AAGTCTAGATGGCGGCTTTAAGGTATTGATTTCTTTACAATAATAATTATACAAAAAATTGAAATCCGATATGACAAATACTGCATCTCTAAATGTATTTTTTTTTACTATTGATGGGTTCACTGTTGTGTGTTTGCATACTAGGTGGTCTACCTTTGGATGTGTGTGAAATACTCGATAAAACAGATAGCCACTGAATATCTACTGTGAACAGTGATATATGTTACTTTAAAGCTGTTATGCCCTTTATTTATCAATGAACGTCTGAAACTTAAGATACTTGTTATTGAACAGTCTATTTACCATTACTTACGATATTGAAATTACTACATTAATTTGCAATGTATTTGAAGAAATTATTTCATTTTATAAATGTAAATCAAGTATGGAGCGCGAATGTACCTGTATTCTTTACTATCGTCCATTGATTGAATGATTGATTGGTTATACCGAGCGCATCAACTGCTAAGATCATTACTGGACATGTTTTATCGCTCAAGGTGGCGTTGATCTTCCTCAGCTGGATGGCGAGATCCGGCACCGATCTACACGTCGCCTTGCGGGGATTTTCCCCAACCAGGTATCTCTCATGAAACGGGGCACCGCCCCAGACGGGACAAGCTCTAAGCTCCTGACCCGTCTTTCGGCAAAAGTGGTTGAGTCGTGCACGTAAGTGTGTCTGTAATGGGTGAGTATAAGACAAGGAAGAGAAAGGAAAGATCACGGGAGTTCTGTGGCCCGTTTGTTCGGGCACATCTCTGGCATTTGCCTGGTGTAGATTGGAGAAACCAAGCAAAACTACCGATCAGAGCATCCGACCGCCAGAATTCCCTAGTCAACGGATGGATTCAACCTAGCTATCTAGCTAGTGTCAAAAAGCCTTCCCACGTCGGAAATCGAACCCTAGGACCTCCAGGTCCGACGCATTGCAGTGACGTTAATTGATGACCTGAGCCACCTAAGCCGTTCACTGCCTTCTAGATGGGACAGCGCACTACTCTAAGAAGCAAAATAACGAATTAGCACAAAATTTCCCCGCAAGCTTCCGAGAATGACATGAAGCGCTACAGTCAGGAATTGCCGATATCGTATGAAAGACGTAAGTGCACGCATTTTAAAGAAGTCGTTTCCTTTGCTAGTTTCTTATACATTAACGTTGAACAAACGTAATCTCTCCATTAGGAGTTCGAGAACCTGTACGCGTGCTTGAGCAGCCGTGTGCGGGGGGGGAGGAGCATATGAGTGTCTGAGTGAGTGATATAGGTGAACAGGTAAGAGTGAACGAGTGAGTAGCCGAGAGGATGTGCGAGCGAGACAGGGGTAGGTGGGCTCACCCACGCCGAGCAGGTGGACGGGTGACTAGGTCAGAATGAACGAGCGAGTGGAACGGTAAGCGAATGGGAGGATGTGTGAGAGGGAGAGAGGCTGAGCGGGCGAGCGGATGAGATGGGAAGGGGTAAAAGTGAGGGCGGGAGGAGGAGGAGTGGGTGAGGCAACGGGCCGGCCACTCAGTGGACTTGAGGCGCCGCGTTGGCTAGAGCGGAGATGATGCCGGGGATACTACGAATAAAACGCAGGGTGTGGGCGGTTGATGAACCAGCCAGAGGCCGCCTACATATTCACGAAACAATTTACGCCCGGAGGCGGTACCCCGAGCGCGTATGCCGTCCTCCGCCCTTAGAACGTTGGTGGCCATTCATGCTCCCTTCTCTCGGCATTGCATCAGCCCCTACATTTACGAGTCTGTTGCCAAATGGTGTTGCCCAGTTGTTGATGCACAAGCAAGTGGTACATATAAATCATTTTGCAGGAGAAATGTTTTATTCTGAGCGACTCCTCTTATTTTGAAGACAAACTGTTATTGTGTTCCAAAATTGTTTCCATGACAAGTTTAATATATATATATTTTTTTTAAATACATCTTTTCACAAATTAAAAATAACGATTTTTAGATGAGTCACCCTTTTTTATACTGGTTTTAAAAATATTGATATTAGGCATATTATAAACTGGAGTTCAAGTAAACTGGAGTTCAAAGGCACTAATTTGTAGATAAGCCCCAAACAAATACTCACAACTACAATTTAACCACACACCTACAAATACATACACATTCACGCACACACAAAATAGTCGTGCGAGTTGGTGCACATTTCATTGCTTTTCATTGATTGTTATGCCAAATACTATGCTACAAACAATTATCTTGCTTGAGGAGTTCACACTTCTTTGTCTTTACATTTCAGTTCCTGTTTATTTAGATTATTGGCTTCTCGCTCAACATCTAATCTCTTCCAACTCCCTATCCCTAACCATTACGTTTTCACGGCAATGTTTAAAAACAACCGCAAGTAACTGACTCACCCGACGTAGTCTTGATAAATGAGTGTTAAAATTGTCGTTCAATTGTTGGTTTCTTTCGCTTGGTAAAGATAATGAATCATTCCAATTCTCGACGATTTCTTTCAACATGGCTTTCAACGCACTTACATCTTTGCACAGGTACATGTGGTTAAATGTCTGACCACTTTCACGCGAAGTGTTTCTTGTAGATTACTTTCAGCCAATTGCACTTACGTCATATAATGAACCTCAATATCACAATCCTATCAACCACCACCACCACCATTACGCTTACTATCTCCAACACCACTGCACCATCATCATCAATACCACCATTCCGCCCCCTTCACAACTACCATAATCCTATCCATTAGCTAAGATTACCATCACCACCACATACCACCATCGTACTACTACCATCACCACACACCAACATTGGCCATATTTACACCCCACAACTCTTCAACACATCACTTTTAGCAGCGTCAGCACACGGCCGCCAATTCCGCCAGCAGCAACATTCCATTGCGCGTTTCCAAATCCAATTCGTATCCCGGCAGTAAAACGGGGGCTCTGCGTCTAAAGCCCGCAAAGTGGCCACCGCGCGCAGGGCACTCCAGCGAGAGCTCGGCGCAGCTGGGAACGAAACGGCTGCGCGCGTGGCAAAGCGGCGCGCAGCGCTGCGCATTGCAGATGCGCAAATGAGCGCCCATCGCCGCGTCTCGCCGCGCGCATAAATGAATTATTTCACTTTCAAATGTTGGCAACACTTTGACTAAAAGCCGCCGACGAGCCGCGACGCGCCCGCCCGCACACGCTCGCGCAGTTTTATTTCCGGAATGTTGGCTAACGTGGTATGTCTGAAGCTCATTTACGCAGACGGAATGCTAATTAATCGACGCGCAGCACCGAACTGTCACAGCGCTGCCAACATGAAGGCAGCGTGAGCTCTCCTCGCCTACGCGGTGCAGAACAAGCGAGCGTCTGCGATTTATCATTTTCCTGTGGTCTTAATCTCCCTAAAGAAAATATTTCCATTTTAATGGGACAACTTTAAAGGTATTTTAAATTTCAAATGGTTGCGCCTCGTCAGGATAGCAAAGGTTGCAGGATGACTTTAAGGCTCATCTCTTCGACCTCACGAGTACACATGTTCACGATGCCGTTCTGTGCATCACGCCGCGAAGAGAAGCTCAAAGTTTGCGAGTCGCTTACTCACTAGACCTCCTAGAACATGTTTGAAATAGAAGAATGTATAGAAAAGAGACAGAGTACGGTTTGAGCAATTTTCTTGTCGAATATTCATCACTAGATTGAAATTCGTATTTCGTAATCTTGTGATGCTTTAGATGTTTTTTTAGTTTTACTGCCTCACAAAAGTTGCTTCCATCACACATTTTTTTCTTAATATGAAATTGTGCATTGATTCAGTAAAAATGCTTTATATTTTTCGAAACTATATCTTCGTTTTTCACATATTGCATTCAGATACAGTTTACAAGATAAACTGTTGCATCATGAATAAAAAATTATCGATCGTTCTTTTAAGACTCTTTACAAGGTATCTTTCAGACAATTGAAACAGCTGAGAAATGTGACGAATTTATTTTCGTATGTTTTACTCTGAGCGTTGAAAGGGTAGAATTTTTAGAGTATAATTGCATTCATTCCTACAGTTAATACAAAGTGAGAAGTGGGAATTTATATGCATGTCAATCAATTTATGACAGTACGTTTTCCTGCGCTCGAGGTTTCAATATCATACCAAACTATTCTAGTGTTAAATACAATTAGGGCTTATATTTTGATGTGCAAAAATTCATTAAACATTTAACTTTATGCGCTTAAAATGTGAAAAATATATGGTAAAAGACAAAACAAATTATTAATTACCTTCATAAAAACCAGTAACCAAGATCAAGGAAAGTCTCGCAGTAATACGTGAGATAGTCTTTATCACTCTGCACATTTTGTCTGCGCAACCTAAGAACGTTTGGGAGCTACTCGTGCTATGAGTCTATGTTATTGATATGAAAAAAGAATCTATCTTCCACAATGTATTTTTTTGGTGAAATATTACTTATTTTTACCTATTCGTAAGGATTTCCACAAGATTTCTGCAGTAACTACCGAGTGTATGTTATTGCTCGCAGTGTCATTCCTCAATCGAGAGTAGTGTTTGAAATGGCCGTCACCTGTTTTTGACAGGTTGTTAACCAGGCTATATGTATTCAAAACTGACACGTCTTTCACCATACATCTAAAAACTGCAAAGTATTAAACCTGAGAATACGCAAAGCAATCATTTAACCATAGAAAAAATAACGAAATGTGTAATATTTGTTTTTACGAAAATATTTTTATGCAGGTTAAATCAACATATTTATTTTTAGGCGATTCTCAATTTAATAAGTGTAAACTATAGGTGGCTACATGATTTCCACTAATCTTTCAATGCTTAGGATTAAGGGGGGAAATATGTATTTACCATATTTCCATTTATTGAATATTTCTTTGCGGTTTTTTGTAGTGTGTAATGATTCGATTTAGCAGAGAGAGATTTTGAGAGGAACAATATTAGAGGAAATTACTGTACACTTTTTCTGAATAGGAATCAAAAAAAGTGGAGTAAACATTAAAAATGTGCAGTCTGGGTTTCAGCTCATTTCTTCCTCCGAAGAGTGGTATGAATTAGTATCTACACCTGGCATTGACAATAACAGAAATTCCACCTAAAACATAGTAGCAGAATAAGTAAGCTCACCTTCCTGGTCCAGGTGATGGTGGGCACGGGGTTGCCCGAGGCTCGGCACTCGAGCGTCACCGTCGCCCCCTTCTTCACGTCCAGCTCCCCGTTCGACGTCACCTGGTGGATGCGCGGAGGCACTGCGCATACAAACACATTCCGCTCATTGCCGCACGCATTACACAACAAATACACATCACCCTTCCTGCTCCAAAGCACATACACAATCACATTAGCCTCGCCACCGCTCACACACATATTGCCCACTATTCCACCCCCACATTACTGCTCTGCTACTACACACGCACACACACACACAAACACATTACGCTGTCTGCCACACACACTACTCGCGTGCACACATTCATTCACATAAGCATATTGTCCTCTCTGTTCCAAGACCTTCTCTGCTAACACACACGCATACACAACATATTCTAAGGCTCACAAATGTACATACAATATATAGTTGTAGCATACATTTACAATGCTCAGTTTATTCAAGAGACATATACGTACACAGTGCATAAAGACGTAGCTTAGCAAAGATTATACACTATCTCTCGATCGTTTCAGATCATGAAATGTCGCACAATAAAATTAAATGGCATCTCAATACTCTCCATGCTATAGAGTAATATTGATAAACCGGAAGTGTACATAACAGCACAGCCATACTTTTATAGTATACTTAACTTTATTCTATTGGTGTAGTGCCTACATAATCCCTTTGATACGCGTCAATGTAAGTGATATTATCATCGTACTCAGAATTGCATACACAAATTTAACATTTCCATGCTCTCACACATGAAACTAAGAGCTAATATATTTCTGTACATGCAAGAATTAGGATGCTTTTATGAATGATTCAATAACTTGGGAAGTAACAAGATGAAACGCCTTGGACTAAAATGGACATATTAACATTAACGTATAGCAGGAGACTTGCGGTAGTTGGTGTGATTATATTATTACTGCCTCAAAACTTTCCACTGCGATATTTTCCACTGGATTTGAATCAGATATTAAAATCAATGTTACAGAATCTAAAAACCTTCCCTAACAGGTAATACACATTTTATTATGTAAAACAGTGATGTACGAGTAATTTATTCTAACCGAGTTAATCTTTAATTCATCAGCAAAAATTACAGTAAACATACATATATATATATATATATATATATATATATATATATATATATATATATATATACACGAAAGACATACGGTTTACAAAATTTTTTAATGTTATCATTTTCGAGCTGTTATTGTAATAATTCTGGGTACAAAAAGACATATACCTAAGTTAAAAGATTAATTTTGATTATATGGTCAGGCGCATTCGAATTATTTTTTTCTTGATTTGACTGCTATCGACCCTCCTATTGACAGAGTTTTGTGTCTAAGTTACGAGTATTTTTAAAGCAGTAAAACATTTTTTTCTTACAAGCCGGTATACAGTCTCTTCTTTCAAACTAATCGCATTTCAATTACGCAATTGATTCCTTTGAACGTTAAAGAGAAGTCTAATTAAAGTTTTAATGTGCCTTACCACAAACAGATCAGTAGTCTCAGTTTCAGGTTAAATTTGCAATTGAAAGTCAATACTACAATTATTTGAACATGAATAACATCACATACACACAGCGAATCAAAGGAGATAGAAAAAATAGTAATTCAGGATTACAGGAATTTTTTCTCGTGCGACAGTTTCTTACGAAACAAAATAATGCATTTTATTACGAAACACTGTTTTATATATTATAAAATGTTTGTACTCATTAAAAAAGATGAAACATACACTTTTTGCAAAAACATACTTCATTACGAATATTCGGCAACGGAAATTTAAATTCAAATGCTTACACAGAAATTACATCAAAACAAGTACAAATAACTTCGTTGGCAGCCAGAGAGTTTACAAGTTTTGTAAGAGTTCCGGGCTAGTAATATAACTTCGATATCTGAGGTCATGTAACTTTATCTCAGAATGTCGATAAATTATCTTGAAAACAGCAAAAATATTAGAAAATACAGAACAAATGCCAAGAAAAAGACAAAAAAGAGATGAGGAAGGAGTTGTAGGAGGGGGAGGTGAAAAATGAGATGGCAAGTTAAGAATATCGTTGTCGATACAATGCACTTTGCATTGTTAACATCAAACAATGTTGCTGCACTAAACCGAACCGAAGGACTACTTCAAAACAATCTTAAGGATAAAAACAGAGCAGGGCGTTGAATAACCACACAGAAGATAAGTAGGTGAAAAGTAGCTTCCTTTATGTTCCTCTCTCGGAAGAGAAGCAAGAAGAAAGATCTAACTCAACTTTTCAACTTTAAAGAGTCTGTCGTAATTACTGTAATGTAACGCTAACCATCTGCCCAGAAACAAAGAAGGCCCTCAGTCTGTAGGAAACCGGTTCAGGCTCTCTGT